TGTGTGAATCCCATGGCAAGCGATGACATAGTTTCTTAGTTGTAGGACCAGAAACTCCCTCCTCCTCCTCTTGTTTCTTCTTTCCTTCTTCTCTGTCATTATCATCATCAGCTCTCTCTTCTCTAAAGTCAACATGTTAGTTTCCGAGAGATCTCCTACAAATAAATACATGTACACATACATGCATGTACATATACAGTGCCAAAATAACAATTCTATTTTTTATAGTTGTGGATCATTTGCATGTAGTATATTTAAGTTATTAATAATTTATGTCACTTTAATTCCCAATTAATTTGATATCATATAAGTGGTTTTTTTAGGGTTGCAAATTTCGCAAATTCCTTCCTAATTTATGAAAATAAAATCCACAAAAATCAATTTAATACGGTATCTGCAGGGCACACGTGGTAGAATTTGTGAAATTAAAATCAGCAAATTGGAATTTAAGTAGATTGTGCAAAATACTATACTAAAACTTCAAGACTGAGAATAATAATAAAAACTTTATGAATAGATAACATCATAAAAGTAATCATGAATTATTCTATTATTATTATCTGACTAATTATATATCAGTTATACAAAGTTACATGTACATGTACACACATGAGGTGTGCATGTGCTTACTGAAGTAACTGCTTCATATATCATTACTTCTTTGGTCCAATACAAGAATCTATTAACAGCTTTCTCTTCTCTGGTCAATAAATCCTACTAATAATAAAAGTTTGGTTTACCACTAAATGTAACAAGAGAAGGGAGAAAGAGACAGAAAGTGAGAGAGAGAGAGAGGAGAGGGAAGGCTTACCACTGCCGAGTCAATATAGTCAGCAATAGATTAAAGGCTCTGGACAAAGAGAGCATCACCTCCATCAATAGCATTCTGCTGTGGCTATATCATCTCACAGTATACTAGCCATATCACCTGATGATAGTTAAAGGTATGTATCACAAGGCTCTCCCTCTGCAGTGTGACCGGACCAGTGAGACATAGCATCTACTAACAAGAAACATATCAGCATTGATAATTAAGGTAATCAATTAATTATTGTATATAGTATCTCTGATTACAATTATTATATCATATCTGGAAATTTATGCTTTAAAAAATTGTGCATAATTTAGCTTTAAGCAATAAAACTGTGCGATGCATTATTATAAAGAATTCTCTCCCAGATATGCTCATAACCTGAAAATTATTTGTTGGAAACAGTACAAACTTTCTACATAGCATAAGGATATCAATATGCATCAGGAAATGTAACAAAAATGGGGGGGGGTGGAGTGATTTTTGAGCCATTTTTTATGAAAAAAGCATGTGCTATTAGCCTTTGCTCTCTTGATAAATTGGCTTGTTTTTAAAAATGCACATAACTCAAAAATATTATGGTGGAAACAATTCAAACTTACTACATTGGAGCCAGATTAAAAACATGCACACAAACATACAAACAGAAGAGTGTCATTTATGTGGGGCTTGTTCAGGCTCACCCTAATAATATAACTTACACACCTTTTGCAGAAGTGCCAATGAAACAGGAAACATCAATAATGTAATGGTACATCCTAGAGAGAGGAGAGAGTAAAGAAGTCAAGCAACAAAACAAGATATGCACATAAGTAGCTCCAGAGTTTTTATAAGTAAAGACTAATATCAGCAGTGTTGTAAGTTTATAGGCATACATGTACCCGTATGTACATAGCATAGAATGGACAGTACTCGCCATAACAATTCAAATAACTGCATGTCTTAGATCAGCAACATGCCAGTGCAGACTAATGCAGTGGATTGTGGTGCTTTCATTTGCATGGTAAGATATGACCTTAAATTATTGCACTAATTGTAATTAAAACTATGCAGGCAGAAAAATGTTTTATTGAAAAAAGGCAAATGAATTATTGTCAAGTAATAGTATAATACCGGTATCAATAATCAAGCTGAAACAATTTTTATGAGTATAGTTTTTGTAAAGGCTGTAACTGCTTCAGTCAAAGTATCGTTTCAAATAATGAATAACAAGTTGCTTGAAGATTTGCAGAATATGTAGTTGAAGCATACCATTATTATCGTCTTGTGAAATAGACTAAATTTTAAATGATAAGGCAAAACACTTTTTTCTAAGTTATTGAAATTAGTTCACAAACACTCCAGCAAATATCAGACAATCGCTCAAAAGAACAGGAAGAGGGATGACACAGATTACAAAGGACTTTTTAATACCAAATTCCAATTGTACAGCCATTAGGAGGAACATTAACAATAGAAGGCATAAAATGTGAAGTTTTTTTTCAGAGTATGAGTCCAGAAATAATATCACAGCTTGGTAAGTCCAATAGATTGCCTACTATATAAATTTAATTGGAGTGTCTTCTCTCTCCTATTGACCGCCAGTAAATGGCAGAGGAAATGAAAGCTCTCCAGCTGGGTCTGATATAGGAGGATTTCAAGTGTATATTTGAAAACTGTAAACTCATAATGTCTATAGTTTAAATTCTTGCTTGGTAGAAATGTAAATGGGTAGATAAAGTTAAGAAGGAATTTAAAAAAAGAAAAGAATATAGAAGCATTAAAATTACACCAAAGCTTTTTATCTCTTGAGGCCTTATTATAGTACCAGAGCGTGAGCTAGAGGGTCCTATGCAGTAAATGACAGATTAATGTACAAGAAATACAAATGCTGTGTGAATGACAAAGGTGAGTATAGGACCTACCATTTCTTGTTAACATGGTTGTGTTAGGAAGTGAAAAAAAGCATGCAACTTAAAAAAGAGCTGTATCTCAATGATGATGTAAGTTTGTTATCAGTGTGTGTAACATGTGTATGTACTTTTACTATTATCTGCATACAGGATGATATTCATACTACTGCTACTACTATACCAGCTGGAAATTGGTGGATGTGTACGTGGTGGCTGGTAGCATTTTTTAACAAATTCTAAATAAAATTGAAGTTATCATCGTAACATTGCTCCTTTTTGCTGATTTGTTGACCTGCAGAGCCAAATCAAGGTAGTGCCTACATTTTCATAGTTGCCACTTTTTTCATTATCCTGTATAAAGAAAGATAGAGGGATCCTGCCAACTATAGATCAATAGCTCTCCAGCCTACACTCCGTCTATTCATGTTTGCTGATGTGTGTCTCTTCCCTCATGACTCCCATATTGCAGTACAGCAATGACCCAATCAAAATCATTTGCCTTTAAAATTGGAGAAGGTTTTGTCTTTCGGAGATGATCAAGAAAGTAGTCTTTCAAGTATTGTAAAATGAAAGCAACAACTTTAACAAGATAGGATAAAAGTATACTGCGAATACAGGGACCATGTTATCCATCACCCCATAACCTTAATGGTCACATTATACAATTATCAAAAATAAGTTATACTGTAAAAGGTAAATTGATTTTTAAGTTGATAAATGAGCAGAAAATGCATGCATGTGTTCTATATGTAGATCTACTGAATGATTTAAGGGAAATTTTTGATCATTGTATTCTTCCATTAATAGAAGATATCCCTTTGGCTTCTCCTTTAATGGAGTCACTGAGTTAAATAAAACCTGAGAGTGCCAATGAGACAGAACAAAAAAAGGGAAAAACCGCTAGGTGGATCCAATGTGACTCCTGCAATAAATGGGTTCATTTTTTGTGCTGGACTGGATCAACGTAGGAAGACACAGCATAATTTTATTTGCTGCCAATGTGACATATAACCAAATATAATTGTGAATTGTTATTGCATTAAGTGAAAAGTGATACTTATGTTCATTTAAAAATGATAATGTCATGGTTGAAGAAGTATGGAAGCTCTTGTTGATGCATTTACCAGCCACATCAATACATATCTTGAACTATACATGAAATGTCCGTGACTATAGTTACCAAGGTTACCCAATCTTGTATGATACATTAATGTACCTTGCTACAGTTACCTTGGTTATGACAGTATCACACAGATTGTTATTCATCATCCCATGAACTTAATGGTCACATCATATGATCATCAATAATTTCATAAAATAGTAAGATGCCTTTGTTTAATATTATGTTTGCTTGGAAGAAATGAAAAGGTAATTAAGAAAATAGAAAAGGATATATTATAGCTAGAGGTATCCGGCGAGACCTTATCTAATCAAAAAGTGACAGGATAAGGGGAGGAATAATGCAAATGCAGGCAATGGATAATTGGTCTTGGATATAGTTAAAAGCAGCAAAAAGGCAACTGAAAATTATCCCACACTGCCTCAGTTGGAAACATGGTCAATACATAAGGTCTGATAAACATTGAATAAATTCATTATCATAAGTTTTACACCTAATTGAGAGAGGCTACTTTTAAACTTTTATGGCCTTTTACAACTTCTTGAAACTTTTCCACAATTTTATTATCAAGGTGATCCACTTTTAGTACCTTCAGGTTATTTTGCTATTGAAGGTAGTCCAGTAATTGAGCCAGTAATAAAGGTCCATGTTCACATATACAGGATTTAATGCAACACTTATTCTCTGTTAATATGATTTCATGAAAGTCCTTTGCTTCGTAAGTGTCTAAATAGATTGTTGCTTCAACAGATGCTAGTAAATAACTGCCAATGAATTAATCCTGGTGTTTCTTGCCTCTAAGGTGATTCCTAGGTATTTTTAAGAGGCAGCTGCAATGAAAGTGCCCATAGTCATTT